TGTGCAGGGCAGAAAAAGAAAACCCATTGGCTGGTTTGCCTAACCTAACCCTAAGGCTGCAGTTTTAAATAATGAAGACATGGAGTCTGGAAGTGAAGCCTGCAGCTTTTGTGTCTTTCCTTACGCCAAAGTTCCCAGTGGTCTTTCGTAACCTGCACACAAGCACAGAGGCCGGGAGTGCTAGGATCAGCAGATAATTCTGTAGGTCCTTCGGGCTATGGACAAAAACACAGGCAAACACTTACATTACACTTGGGGTGAGCAACGTTGTTGGAACTGAGCAGAAGTGGCAGTGTATTTTGTGCAGTCTCACTACCCAGCTCGGACTCCTAGTGATTCTCTTGCTGTCAGCCTCCCCAGTGCTGGGATTACAAGCATGCACCACCACACCCAGTCTCAGGGGCTGGCTCAGAGTGCTCGGGGGCAGGAATGGCACTGGATCAAACCCTGGCCCCTGCGCTTGCCAAACCAAGCACTTATCCACTGAGCTATCTTGCTTAAACTCAAGAAGGATGACAGCAACATCTATACTACCTGTTTATCTGTTGTTTTTCCTCTTCAGTACAATATGACAAATACAACCAAGCTGGACAGATATCAATATAAATATTTTTTATTTTACATTATTTTAGTCTTTTATTAATACTCTCTTTTTTAAAAGATGGGAGTCTCATTGTGTTGCTCACTTTGGCCTTAAACTCCTGTGGTCGACAAAGCTGTCTGCCGAGCAACCGACTGCAGGCGGGTGCCAGTGTGCCAGGCTTACTTGTGACTGTGGATCCTTAAATTCAGCCATTAGCGAGGTGCAGGGCAGGGAAGTCATGCAGGCTGGGAAGTAGTAGACGCAGGCCTTATTCTGCTTTGCCCCTCTGCTTCCTGACAACCACAGCAACCCTTCGGCCCTGCTCGAGTCCCCATCTCACGCAGAGGTGGCAAGTCTAAGGCATGCTTACTGCACCTGGTTGTTTATCACTGAAAGCTCTCTAGGGTTTGCTGTTATTGATCAAGGCATTTTGGCACACTTTACTTCTACACTGTTTTTTTCCTCCTCCCAGGTTGGAATATTCACACTTTGTGAGAGTTGGCCCAGGCCCAGCTGCAGGAACTAAGGTTGGGGATCCCCCACTGGGGCTGCAGAACTGGGACCAGGGCTCTGTGCCTCAGTAGTCAGGTGTTATGTTGGCTCCACCTTTGCAAATGAGCTTTGTTTATTTTACCTGGAAGTTCATAGGATGATGGAAAGGAAGATGCAAAGGTTTGCTGAATCCTGAAGTTGGGTGACTCAGGAGCTTTTGTTCAGTGGCCCTGAGGCTCTTATGAAATGTGTTGGGGTCCTGCCATCCCTCACAAGCCTGGCTTCCTGTCAGTAGACACTGTTCAGACCTCAGTGGGCATCTCTTGGGACAAGGAAGTGTCCGAGTTTTGAGGAAACAAGTGACATTCTGAGTCCTGTAAGAGACTGGTGCTTACCCACTTCAGCACATCTGAGATGGAGCCAATGCTCTGTAGGCCATGGGCAACAGCCCAGCACAGACTCACTTTCTTCTCCTGGGCCTCAAGCATGCTTGGCTAACACCCAGTTTAGCATTTGGGGACAGTGATGACAAGCCTGAGCCACTAACTGCAGGGAGATAAATCTCCATGCTACCTTGCATTTCCACAGTGAAAATTCATAGCTATCTTGGTTCTAGACCCACTTTCCTGGAACATCAGTAGAGTGAATAGCCTGGGAGGACAGAGGAGTATCACTTGGGAAAGGGAAGGCCAGCTTTGTCCTATGTAATAAGGACTGGCAAGGTGGCCGGTGCTGTCTGTTGGCAGCAGTGTGTAACGTCCACCCAGCCCCTCCCTCACCTATGTGTAAGGTTCAGGGGCCAAAAGGTAGCACCAAGCACACTGCTCTTGCTGAGTGTTGTGACCTCTGGCCCAGAGCTCTGGCTGGTCCCCAGCATCGTGAGTTTGGGGTGGGCAACTGTCAGCTTTCAGGCTGAGCACAACTCAGTTCTTATATGCATTCTTCTTCTGGCCAAAACCACACTGATGCTGAGTACTGAATGCAGTGTCAAGGGTGCAGTTTTGCCGCTGGACTCTGGAAGCCACCTCGACTCAGGAATCCAGGGTGCTAATAAGCTACTCTTAAGGTTAGAAGCCTTCCGGTCACAGCAGGCAGCAAGGTGGTGGTGCATAGCTTTGAATGGTGCTGCATTTAGGGCAGAGCTTAACAAACTTTAACAAACTTAGACCTTGTGCTCTTCTGTCCACTTTCTTTGTCTTTTTTTTTTGTCTGTAAAAATGTGTAAATTCTTGTGTGTGGCCTCTAAAAAGCAAACAGGGAAAGTGTCTTGGACAGTCCTTGCAGCCAATGTAGCCACAGGACCTCAGAGTGAATCTGGGGCGGGTGAGGCAGTAGGGGAGGGGATGGAGTGACAGACTGGGAAGGATTCAACTTGCTGAGGGTCTGGAGGAGGACTGGGTGAGAGCTGGGGGTGCTTTCTGGCCACAGAACAGGAAGGCAATGAATTTTGCTCATATCACAGATTTGAGGGAGTTACTGAGGCAAAAGAGATAGTAGGCAGACAGATAGTTTTTCAATTTATGTTTCTTTTAGGTGGCATTCTGCAAGCATGTGTAGGGAGTGGTTAGAGTTAGGATTTCTTGTTTGTATTGAAATTCTCTTACTAGTAGCCTAACAGTTCAGGAGGAGCCCTCTTGTGTACACAACATTCAGCAAAGGTGTATGTACATGCGCTTATGTTGTGTGCATGGTAGAGTGTGTGTACTGCTTGTTGGAATGTGCTGGTTAGGAACTTATGAATGGGAAGAAGAAATTAGGTTGGAGAGCCAAAGACCAATAAGATTTGTTTCCTTCCATATTAAGAAAGCAAGGGTCTGCGAGGCCAGCTAGCAAAGCACACAAGACCCAGAAAGGACGCTGTCCCTGGCGGTCACCCTTGGTTACCTGGTTTGTCTCATATGATGACTGTGCATTGTCTCCTTCCAGTGCACCTGTCCCAACATGGCTGCAGGCCTCACACAGTGCACACGTGTCTGTCTGCATATACACATGTATGAATCACCACAGTCTCACACAATACTACATGTATACATAGAATTTTTCTTGTAAATATACTCACACTCACACCTCTACATGCCTGTATAAATGTGCAAATATAGGCACGAACATGCATATGGTGCTCCCAAGTGTGAATATTGATACACACACGTGTACATCTTGTACCCATGTGGGTAAGAACACACACAACCACAGATACGCACATGCACACACATGCAGGCTCTCAGCTCTGAGTGACTGAGATGCTGACCATCTCCACATGAGATTGCACACTCACACACTCGCACACAAGCACTCATGCACGCATCTCAGTGGAGGTATGGGCTGCTGCTCACCGCCCTGAGAGGTGCCATGTGCTCTACCAGAAGCTCACCGTGCCTGCAAACAGTGGGATGGCTAGAAGACTAAGTAGGTTATCTCTGGACTGTTATTAGTAACAACATAGAAAATCCAAAGGTTCTTGTTATATTAGAAAAATATTACACTTCATAAAATCCATGTTTATTCAAAAAATCTATTCTGAAAGTCTGGAAAGCATAATAAATATCTGTACAGTGGCCGCCCGCCTCAAACATGAAGTATAAAGCGCGAACATGAAAATGGTCTGTAAACACAACTGCTGAGCTTGTAAACAAAGTGCCAGTCAGAGGAGCGGACAGAGCAGCGCGTGGGGCGGGGAGACCAGGACGCTTGTGGAGTCCCCTCCTAAGCTTTGAAGCCAGCCTGGGTCACACCTTACACCTCTCCCTACCACTCAGGGACTTCCAGCAGCCTCTCCCAGTCTAGAAGTTTTACAACATTTGCAAAGGCGAGGGGCAGCTGAACATGTCAGAGACGGAAGCCTGAAACAAATTTTATCCTGTGCTTGAGAGAATCAGTAAAGCATAAGGTAAAAATCCCATGTGCATTTTCAGAAATAACACCATTTAGCACACAATACTGGCTAACATTAAGTACTATTGTCACTCACTGAACAATATTCCACACATCAGCATACACGCGACTAGTTTACAGTCTTGCACAAATCTGGCCTTAGGATCAAACTGAGATCCTCATGTCTCACACATTTGACTCAGGGGTTGGAATCCTGCAATGCTCCTCCACCAGGGATGGATTGGGTGTTCTTCCCAAGCTGGGGGTTTGATAGGCAGAATGGACCTAGAATGGGTCTGGAAGGAATCACTCAGGATTGGGTTAGGAAGCCTGGGGTGGAAACTGGGTTTTCTCATGAGAAATTCCATGGCTTTATGATCCCAAGGGGCTATGACTCCGTGTGGGCAGGGAGGACACTGAACTTCCTGAGATGTCTGTATTACTTGTGCAAAGCATGTGGAGCCTTCTGTGACAGAGGGAGTTTCATTGGATGGGGAGATAAGCACTAATGCTACCCACAGTCACGCACTCCCTACAGCTTGTAAACTGTAGTCACCTGTCCTTGCCTTTAGGATTCTTAAAAGCTGCGTTAAAAGACTTCCATCCATAACTCATCTGGGCCGATTTTCTGTTGGGGGCATCAGGTATCACTGTGCTCTCGGTAGGGGCAGGAAAATCAAGGTATTTTAAGAGACTCTCATCACATACACATCAAGGACAGTTGGGTGATGGTCACCTCCGTCCTTTTGGCATGTTTGTGGCTCAGAATATGAGGCATGCAAAGTGGCATTAGTCAAGGAGGCGGGCAGTGGGCTGCAGGAGCCCACGTGGTATCTGTGTGACGCCCCTCCTGGGTGCTGTGCTCTGCGTCCTTTCCCTGGTTCTTTCCCTGGCATCAGAACACAGGGCCGGAAGGGAACCAACCAAGGCAAGGGCTGAGAACAGCTGAAGGGCAAATCTACACCTGGGTTGCGAGCAGAGGATTTATGAGCTTTGCTCATTTCTAAGAGGAAAATCTGTTACCTAAGTACTATCCACTTTTCCCTAGGTTTTCAATAAGAGTGGAAACAATTCAGATCTAAATCTTAAAGTGACTGGGAAAATCACTTTAGCCCTGGCAAAAAGCACTTTCCACTGAGAAAATATGAACAGTGCCCAATAGGCCATCTGAAGACTGGGACATAATCTGTCCCTCACTTCTTCGTTTTCTGTAGATCGCTCTAAAACACCGTCTCGCGGAATAATTAAAGCTTATGAAATAAGTTTGTATTTTAAGGTCTGAAAACAAACCAAGCTGAGTTATTTTCCAGAATGTAGTGCTTTTGGGGGTTGTGGTGTTGGGTTCCAGAGCAAATCAAGATGGAAGGAAAATGATGGATCATCCGTGGTCTTCTGAGTGCAATCTCGGTGTGGCCCAAGGGGACCTCTCAGTCACTGCTGGGTGTGCAGGGGGTGATTCCTCAGTGGTACCAGGAGCAGGGGCCATGAGCCCCAGGTGATAGTGTTCCCTGTTCCGTTTGGTCAGGGACCCCTGGCTTAGCTCTGCCAGGGGCATCCTCAGGATTCCTGAGGAAGGCTGGGGAACACACACGTCCTTGAGAACTTGGCTGAGCCTCCCGCACAGGAAGGTTCTCACCCCATTCTCCTTCACAAGTAACACATTTGTGTGCACACACCACACCAGGGTAAAGGAAATGCTGATTTAAAAATAGATCTGTGCAACAGAAACACAAAACACAACATAAACCACAGCTTCTACAAAGTGCATCTCTGCTGTTGGTGGCGCTCCTGGCCTTCCTGCCTCCATGAGTGAGTGTTAGGACTAATGACTCCTCCTTTCCCCAGACCTCAGAGGTAGGGATGGGGGAGGTGGCAATGCTCCGTGTTCTGCCCTTCATAGCTTCTCTGCAGACCAGAGTGATGAAGGGAGTGAACATAGCAAAACACTTGCCTTGAGTCCTGTGCAGACCCAGAGAGGTTCTGCTGTCTCTGTCACCAGTGAGCTGGAGACATCAGGGAGCCTTTGCAGGGACAACCTAGACAGAGTGGTGCTGGTTCCCCTCGACTCCTTTCCTTCACAGCGCTCTGTCCAGACCCTGGTGAGATGGAACTGTGAAGTACAGACCCAGCCCACAGCCTCCTGCATGGGCCCTCGGCCCTCACAGCTCAGCAGCGAAGGAGAGAGCAGTCAATGCCTACCTCAAGAGAGAATGGTTCTTTGGACGATTTGGGGCAGGACCAGGCCTCTAACCTGGATGCTCCTATGCCACTCCAGTCATGTGGCTATCAAGACACCAAGACCCTGAGAGGTCCAGATGCCTTCAGCCCCTCAGAGGGGCTTTGCAGTCACCTGACAGGCTCCAACACTGACATCCTTTTCCGTGTAGTAATAAGAACACCGGTGTTGGGCATCTGACCACATTACTGGCTTCAGAGCTGGAAAGAACCTCTCTTTATAACTACACACCATGAAATGGACAGACCAGGACCCTGGGAGTGACCCAGGTTCCACATGGGGTGGTGCGAGGTGATGGCATTCATTTGGTTTGCTTGGGAGTGAGGGAGAGAACAGGCGGCAAGTCCAGTACAGCGAGACTCTGAGGATCACCACAGGACCCTCTTGGGGCCAAGAAGGAAACACAGAGACAGTGAAGGCCAGTTCTGCCTTTGGGTTGGACTTGTGGTCACTTCTGGTGCCTGTGAGCGGGGCCATATCCAATGCCTGGGAGCCTGTGAGGGCACCAGGCAGGACAGCGGGGGCTGGTGTCCAGGTGCTGCTGACCGCTACAACCTTGTAGACGTGAGTCTTTTCATGCCTCTGCGCTGGGCCAGGCTGGATGACAGCACAGGCTCCAGCCGTGGGGCCTGTGGTGTCCTGTTTAGAGCAAAGTAGGTGGCTGCCATTGCACCCTGAAAGAGAAAGCAAAGGTGAACATGGTGCCCTGCCCCTCCTGAGTGGCGTGCTAGGGCCGTGGGACGCGCAGAACCTTGGGCACTGTCCCTGGATTCCTGGGGCCCTGAGGGTAGTGAGTTTGCTGCAGGGCTAGGCATACAGTGGGTCCATATATTTTAATGTCATCACATCCAGTCACCATTTTACACCGGCCTCTGAAGGTGCTTGTGTCTGGGGGGGTAAGAAACGCAGAACTTCGTGAGTCCTATAATGAGGACAGGTGAGCTGCTTGCTGTTGACAGGGGGCCAGGTCTGTTTTGTTTTATTTATTTATTTATTTATTTATTTATTTATTTATTTATTATTTAGTGCAGGGTCTAAGGGGTCTACACGGTCTCACTACACAGGTCCAACTTGTAGTGATTCTCCTGTTTTCAGCTTCCCAAGCGCTGGGATTACAGGCATGCACCACCACGCCCAGTTTCATTCACCGTCTCAGTGTGCCCCAGGGTGGGGCCAGCACCGCAGGTCGGGGATGAACCTCCAACCGTTGCCTCTGCCTAAGTAGGCACTTCAATCTGCTGAGCTATCTCGTCGGCCCTGCCAGGTCTGTTTTAAGGCCTGTTGAGGCCCCAGAAACACAGCCATGGCCAATGCCAGAGACTGTCAGCCTCAGTTTTTGCCACGTTGGAGTAGTCTAGACTGACTTGGTGACCAGGCTTATCCTGGAGTAGCTCCAAATCCTCAGGATGGACCCAGAATAGACCTAACTGGATGACAGCACATCCTGTAGGATGTCAAAAGGGTCCCACCCTCATATAGCTGCCTGAGAGAGGAATGCTGTGCTGGTAAGCAGGGAGCTTTACAGATGGCTGGCCTAGAATTGAGGGCCTGGGAACTTGAGACAACATGGCTGCCAAAGCTGTCACTCTCCCCTGCATGGAAGTTGTCACTCAAATACAAACGCTGACTGTGGCTGCACGTGTGTGATAAAGTGATTTATTGGCACCTAAGGGACACCTACAGTTTCCATGGCCCCTTCAGTCCCCACCGCCATTTGGTACCTTCACTAGGTGGACGTCTTGTCTGCTCAGCTGGCTCTGGGACAGAAGTTCTCTGTTGACAATCCATGGGTGCTTCAGCACTTGCACAGCTGTCAGGCGCTGCTGCGGGTCCACATGCAGCATCTTGGACACAACGTCCTGCAGAGGGTCATGGGCAGAGAGGAAGGGTGCTGGGCTGGCTGGCAGATGCCTAGTGAGAGGCCTTTTACGTCTTTATGGAAAAACCCCATAGCTGTTGTATGGCGACTTGTTTTGGAGTCAAGTGATTACTGTTAGACTTCACATCCAAATGGAAATTAAATGTTAAAATGTTAAATGATACAGGTAAGTTGGTGAAATATTATTTTTTAAAAAAATGATAGAGGAGGCTGAAGTAATCAGTATCCCACAGATACAAGCTAATTGGTAACAATGTATGTAGTTGTATTTTTATCAGGACTTTCTATAAATTCACACATAATCACATAAGCTATCATGTATGCCATCTTACATGCCAGTGGCTCATGTCCAAGCAAGGTAACCCTTATTTTAGTATAACAACAATGAAATTACTAAAACTCGTCTAAGAGCAGAGCTCCACTTTGTACTGCATACTCCTCTTCACAATCTGCGTGTGCTCACACAATGCCGCACGTGTTCAATCTCAGGCATTTTCCATTTGCATCGCATTTCATGAAGACACTTGTACCCCACACGCATCACGTTAGCTGGTCCTCAGATAGGCCTCGAGCAAGCACAGCAGTACTGCTTCCTCCCTCCTCTGCAGTACGAAGCTATCACAGGGATGGGCGCCTTAAGACCCAAGCCACAACTGCCATTCCTACCATATTTAAATAGGAACTAAAGTGAATTTGAACGCATGGATAGTGTGAATTTGAATTGGTCAATAGAATTTCTTTCTCACTGTAAACCACAACAAAGACATACTATGTACTGTAACAATACCTTTTGTTATGGTTCACATCTAAAATGCCCCCCGCAAGCCTCTTGTGGTCACAGGTGGGGCTCCTTGGAGGTGACCAGATCCCAGGTGTGTGATACTCACCAGTGCTTTAATTTGCTGATGAGTTTATAGCTAAATGTGATGTCGGGGAAAAGGTGGGGCACTGGGGGTGTGGCGTGGAAGGGTACACTGCCCCTCACTCCTCCCTAGGTCTCCCTCTGCTTCCTGCCTGCTGTGCCAGGGATGCCTGGGCCATGCCACCCTGCCTTGGAACCAGTCCACTATGGGCTGAAACCTCTGTGAACTGTGAACCAAAGTAAATCTCTCTGTTAAATTGTGGGTGTCAGTGATGAGAGAGTAACACGATGTCTTCTTTAGAAGATATCATTTTTCTGAGAAGAAAAACAAGGCGATTTTTATTTGATGGCATTGACCTCAGTACCTCCTTGAAGAAATGTCTCCTGGAATTGGCACTGTGCCCAGTTCCAGATGAGAAGGTAGAAGCAAAGGGAACAGCACTGACTTGCCTAAGAGCCCGTAGCCATGACACAGCAGGCAGCCGGTCATTCCCACTCAGCCCCTCCAGGATGGAGCAGGGCTACCAGGGAGGAGGGGCGCTCAGTGGCAGAGCACTCGCCCAGCACGTGCAGGCCCTGAATTCCATCCCCAGTCACCTTCCTTCCCCTCAAGACATGCTGTCCACAGTATCACCTGGGACTGGATGTTCTCCTCTTGTCGCTAAACATTTATGCCTATATCTGTGTCTATGTAAATGTCCTATTAGTTCTGTGTCTCTGCAGAACCCTAACTAATATGCTAACAGAAAATGTGATTTTTTTTTTTTTTTTGCTAGTAATTCTTTTAGCTGTAAGACTTAAAGACATCGTGAGAGTAAAATGTGTGCTATTTCTATGGAATGTAGCTCCTGGCTTACACACACACACACACACACACACACACACACACACACACACACACTATGGGGATAGGAAACCTCATGATCAAGAGTTAAGAACCCTGGGAGAGGGCTGGGGAGATAGTTCAGTAGAATAAGTGTTTGCCTGGCAAGCACAAGGTCCTGAGTTCAATCCCCAGTATGGCAAAAAAGAAAAAAAAAATGAATAAAAAAAAAATAAAATAAAATAAAAAACCCTGGGAGGTGTGCTCACTTTTGCAGCATCGGATATGGAGTCCCAGTTCCCCCCAGAGAGGGCGTACTTCCCGCTGCCAATCCTTGCCAAGATCTCCTCAGGAGTGTCATCGGGGCCATTGGCAAAAGGAGTAAACCTGTAGTGAGAGAATAGGTGGGGATGAGCTTGCATTTTACAATATAAAATAAGGTTTGCACTTAATATTGGCACTCTGTTGACGAAGGAAGCAATCATTTCTTTCCCCCTTATTTTCTAAATCCCAGATGCATTGTAAAGCACAGTGTTTTTCCTAACACTATATTCACTTTAAAAAAAAATCTTGGTTGCCAGTGCTAAAGGTTGATGAGGTGGGTGAGGACAAGTCTAGACTTCAAGGCATGAATTTCTTGGGCTCCTTTGGGTCACACTGATGGCAGAGTTGTACAGGGTTCTGCCTGGAGATTGTTTCCATGGTGATGGTATGGCATCATGGATGACAGCCAGAGGTACAAAGTCTGAGGGAGCCGTGGTTGATCTACTGCCAACTCCAGGTTCTTGGGCAAATTAATTCTTTGAACCTCAATCAAAAATGAGTCTACACTCACAGGAACTTGAAGGCCATGCAAGTAAATACGCAGGAAAGGCCAGCCCTGGCCCTTCCTACCCTCCTTGTGAGAGACGCTTCTCCCACACCCACAGAATAAACAAGTACTCGAGTGTGCATTTCCAAGAGGAGGAGTCTTTCGGCCCCCGCACCCAACACATCTCTTAGTGGCTGTGTGAGTGTCAGAGGGACTCAGTGACCTGCGAGAACTTGATGGCTTTCTTTGCCACTGTATCCACAAAGCCCTGTACCCTGCTCCTGAGAGGCCAGCCCCTTGATGGGGACACGAACTACTGATTTATCATGAATTCTTAGAATGCAAGCCAACCTCCTTTCTCCTGCAAGGGCTACAGCAAACAGGATGGATGGTCTACAGTACTCTCTAGTATCTAATAAAATCCTTGGGAACCAGTGAATGTTGTGGGGACTGGGCCCTTCCTGGTGAGAAGGAACCCTGTCAGCCTTGAAGAGGGAAGTGGAGCTGATGTAAAGAAAGGTTCATCCCAGAATTCAGAGCTGCAGAAGCAGAGTTCAGTGGGAACCAAGCATCTAGCCCTGGTCTCGTGCTGATGGAACCATACTTCTTTATGAGGGCCTGGCTGGACATGCCTGAGGCCAACAGGGCTACTGAGGACAGCCATCTTTGAGAGGCTCTTTGACCCAGAAACTCCTAGATGCTTCCTGGCCAGGAGGACCCCTCCAAGGCACAGATGTGGCCCGTGTAGCCAGAAGAATGTAGCCTAGAAGGCAAAGGCCTGGAAGCTTTGCTTCTGATCCTTGAGCTGTGGTTGTACTGAGGCACTAAGGAAGGTGGAAAGTGTTTGCCCCAGCTGGGGCTATTGCTGTGTGATGTGTCCTTGAATTCATTTCTTGGGAATGGACCAGCCTTGCCCTCTACTGAGGAGCATGTCCTTGGTCCCGACACCCTCTGGGCCATCACTTACCCTGCCAGCATGGTGTACAACAGGATTCCCAAGCTCCAGACGTCACATGCCGCGTCATAGCCTTGTCGCTTCAGGACCTGCAAGGGGTGAGAGACATGGGAAGGACTTCAGTAGGGGACTCAGCTGCAGAGATGTTTCCCAGCACACCACAGTGCAGAGTGATGAGGGAAGAAGGCCCCTCACAGCCCACTGAGTGCAGAGAGCCGCGAGGCCTGTGGACAAATGTATAAAGGGTGCCTCTATCTGAGGGCAGAGGAGGTTTTTATAACCTTACCATCTTACTATCTTAACTTTTTTCCCCCTCACACTGGGGTTTGAACTCATGGCCATCACACTGACCAACATCCCCAGTCCTTTTTATTTCTTGTACTGAGACAGTGTCTTGCTAAGTCACTACTTTGCCTGGCTGGATTTGAACTTGCAATCCTTCTGCCTCAGCCTCCTCTACTGTTGACCTTATGTGTTTGTGCACCATGCCCAGCAATCTTAATCATTTTTAAGTGTGTAGTTCAGAGGCCTCAAGCACATACACAGCGTTATGCAGTCTTCAGCACTGCCCCAAAGCAGCCCTGTCTCATCTTCCCAAATTGAAACTTTGGCCCTGCCCAAAGCCAGATCTCCACCACCCTTTCCAGCCTAGAAACCACCATTCTGCTCTCTAGCTTTACAAATCTGACCTCTTTAGGGACTTTATGTAAGGAGACTCCTACTGTGATGGCAATTTTAAAAATTTAAAAATCAGTAGTAGTCTGACACATTTTAGGACAAAACGAGATTGTGCTGCCCACCACATAGCCCATTTGTTAGGCTCACTTGGCCTGGACTGACTACACGGGAGCTAACCTCATGCGGCTCAGGGTGGCTGCACCTAGCTGTGCAGCCTGTACTTTCTTGGCCCTTCCCTGTTTGCCAACTTTCAAGGACTTTATACCCAGCAATGAAGAATAACCAAAGCTACCCAATAAAAATTCACGCTTCTCAGCCTTTGTAACTCCCCCTTACAAAACCTATATAAAATAAGCCCAAGGCCAGCTTAGGGCCGATGCTTGGGAGCAATCCCCCATCAGCTGCCAACATAACGAAGTTGGTTGTCTTCTAACTCCTTGGGCCAGAGTGTTTTCCATTTGGTTTGGTACCGGGTTCTGTACACTACCATAGGCATCCTTTTGTGACTGACGTTTTTCTTGTCATGTGCTGTCCTCAGAGTCATTCCTGTTGTGGCATATATCAGAATTTCCTTCCTTTTTAAGGCTAAATAATATTCCATAGCATACACATTTTGCTTAAAAGCTCATCTAACTTATATGGTTTTGGCTATTGTGAGCAATCCTATTATGAACAAGGGTGGACAAACAGCTTTAATTCTTTTGTGTCTATATCTAGAAGTGGAATCGCTGGATCATATGCTTCACTTTTTGAGGAATCACAAAGGCAGAAGAAATTTAACTTATCCTAAGGTTACATACTTCAATTGTGGACAGTTCCCTTGCTATATTTACAGTTGAATAACAAGGAAGAAGGCAGTATAAATGTTCAGAGATTACTGTGGATTATTGTACTGGTGTTGAACAAAGGGTTAGGAGAGCTGTTTTCCGCTCCTTTGGTCAGTTTCCTTTCACATGCTAAATGACAGCATGCTCACTGGTTAAGACCTAGCTTCATGATCCATTGACTAAGTGATCTGTAAAAGCCCTGTAAACACAATAAGTTTGTTTTTCTGAGTCTAAGAAAGAGGGAGTGGGGCTAGGGAGATAGCTCAGTGGAATAAGTGCTTGCCTAGCAAGTGCAAGGTCCTGAGTTCAATGCCTGGTACCACCCCCCAAAAAATTAAACAACAATGCTTTGTAAATGGTACATTTATAACACAATGCAGTGTACTTCATAAGTAAAAAACTCAATACTGAAGACCCCAGATCGGGCTCCCCCAAATGTGCCTCCTTCTTCATCTGAGGACTGTCGAGCTTCAGTAAATAAGCAGTAGCAGGTGCGGGAAGCTCCTGCCCACTCTGCTGCCTGGAAGCAAGACCTAGGGCTACAGGGATGGAGGGCATGAGGGCATGGGCCCCACCTGGAGCACAAAGCTTACTGCTCAAGATGGCTTCAGACCCTTCTGCCTCATGTGTGCCAGGCAACCGCAGCGACTGGCTCTGCCAGCAGCCGTTTTCTGCCCTCTCATGGGTCACTACTTCCAGCACCTCAAAGTCCTCCTCCTTGCCCCGCCCTTCTCTAAGCATCCACTGCTCTGTGTTGAAGATGCCACAGAAGCCAAGTGCAAAGCCACCTCTTTGAGCATCGCCCCTCCCTGGGTGTCTCCATGTACTTGTGAACCAGCCATACTCAGTCCTGTGTTTCTCTTGCCAGTCTGAGATTTGGACTAGACTAGACCATATAAGGGCTGAGGAAAAATTACTTTCCCTCCCAGCAACACTCCCTGTTAAACACTATACAACTAGGGAATCAGGGAAAGTTGTTTGTGGAGGGGCACACATTGTTCATGTGTTTGAATGACCCCTAACGATGGCCTCTCGGCCCACTGCCCAGCTGCATGTTCCAGGACACAGGAACACTGTTACTGGGGATCAGTCGTCAGGGTTCCTCTCAACTCCTGGGCCACTGAGAACTGCCAGGCTGCCTTTTTCTCAAACTTGTCACTTGGCACACTCAGGCTGGAATAGTTTGGATAGTTTCATCCGGGATTCCCGGAGTTAAGTCCCCTTCCACCTCCACCCCACTCAGCTCAGCAGCAGCGCCAGCCCTGCCACTCCGCTCCTCCATCTACCATCAGCTCACATGAAGGAGTTTCACATACATGGTAGTGCTGTCAGGACCTAGTGGAAAATAGCCCCAGAGAACATGAAAAGGGGGCCTCACAAGATGCCTAGGCTGAGGTTCTCTGGGACAGGCCCAGGAGCAGACAGGGTCCTGTATATACATGTGAGCTTTTAGCTGCAAGTTGCTAGGGAACCTGGTGTTCTTAAATTCAGTGCCTGTTAACTTGGTTCTGCCAGAGAAGGCAACATGGAACAGGAACTATGGTGCAGAAAAAGCTTGTAACTTCAGTCTCCTTCCTGGAACAAATGGGTCTGATCACAGACAACCCATCAGCTCTGTGTCCCCACGTATTACACCTCGGCCTCACTTGTAAAAGATATGCACATTTGAACTAAGCTGTCTACAGTGGGATGACAATTTTTCAGTGACAGTGTCACCATATGAAAGTTTTTCAGGTATGAAAAGAAAATGATACAGTTAACCACAGGAGGAAGCTTAGCTGACTTCTGGGAGAGTCTGCTCTTCTTTCTGTCTCTTTATAAGAGGTCCTCACATCCTTCTGAATGCACTGCTGGGACCCACCAGGTCATCACTGCCACCTGACCCTCTGGCCACTTTGCACACAGGAGCAGCAGGGAGTTCTCTTTTGGGCTTGCTGTCTTTCCTAGGGAGGGCTCGGGGGACCTCACCTCAGGGGCCACAAAGTTGGCTGTATAGCAGGGGGTCATCAGCAGCCCGTTCTCAGCACGCAGCTGTTTGGCGAAGCCAAAGTCACAGATGCGGATGGATTCAGGGTTTCCAGACTCATCCATGTACAGAATGTTACTGGGTTTCAGGTCCCGGTGTACAACCTGGAGGGCAGGAAATGTCACACAATGACAGCAGGAGAGAAGAGGAGTGCTTGGGAGAGACTGTTTGCTCAGGGACAGGTCCTGCAAAGAGGTGCAGTACCCCATCTGCCTCTGGCCATAGGTGACCACGTCCTCACCACCTGCTGTTGCAGGGAGTGTCCGAATAAGGATGTAAACAAGTACCTGTCTTGGGAGGGAACTTCTCATTGGAGCCAGTACAGTAAAGGACCTAAGTAGTGAGTGTAGGAGTGAAAGGATTTCCCAAGGTTGCTCTCAGTACCTAAATATCTACCCCGTGCCACCTGAATGCCCAGCACTGTCAGGTGCATGGCAGGCCCAGCCTGTGCTCTGCTGTTTGTGGGCATTCCAACTCCTTGAGGCAAACGGCAGGACCAGGGCTACACAGACATAGCAACTGTGCCCCTTAAAGAACCAGCATTCCCAGCACACTCCACAGAGACAGTGACAGCTGCCACAGTGGCAGGGCCAGGGACATCTCAAAGCAAAGTGGCTATTTAGGGCACAAAGGGATGTCTTCTGAGGAGACAGAGCGCCATTGTAGGGCCATGTGGTGTGTGCCTTCAAACGGCTGGGGCCAGAGCGTCTCAGTTGTCCTGTTACAGCCCAGTGAGAACATCTGCAAGGGAAATTAAAGGGACATGCTCCGGCAATGTCTGGCTTGCAGACTCCTGGGGACAGGGAAATGAAAGACCCAGTCTCAGTTCTGTCAACTCCTTCATGAAGCAGAAGAACTCTTTGAAAGCCTCAGCTAGAGGGCTGTCTCTAGTGCTTGTCTTCTGGGAAAAACTGTATGCAAAACTCGTGCTACAGCAGGAGTCCTTGTGTGGTCCTGAGAGCATATTCTGTCCAGAGATGAGCTCTTTTTGAAGGTTCACAACCTTGCATACACTGCTGGCCATGGCAGCATGGCTTGCTTCATGACCATCATGAAGACAGTTGGGCATGAGGAATGGAAAAAAAGGGTGACTGAGCGTCAGGCCTGGGTGTGGTGTCATGCTAAGCTGTGACATGGGAGGAGCCTCAACCTTCTTAGGAGCTGGTCCCTTCACCTGCACAATGAGCATCTTCTGTGCTTTGCAATTCAGTAAGGAAAAGTTCAACACAGCTCAGGCATTTGAGGGTTTTCTGAACCTCAGCTGTCATTATCATTTCTGTTGACAATGTTCCTTTGTGTTGGTTAATAAATTTGGCTTTGTGCACTGCAAATAATGAAAAATTTAAATATCATTTAACAAGGCCAGAGTTTGCTCGCCCATTCCTGAAAATAGTCTAGGTGAGTCTGATTTATTAATGTAGCTCTAGGGTACACTGTATATACAAATTATTTTAGACCCAAATTATTTTAGACCCCACAATATGCTGTTCTGGCATACTGACTATTTCAAGCTTCAGTAATTGAAGGAAGTGGATGGGAACGCTCTCTGACCTCTGCCTATTTACTTAAAAACAAGACACAAACTGATAAAGGTGTCTGCCTCCCCTTTCTACCAGGAAGGACAGAAGTTAATCACCAGAGACGATCTAGACCGCTGCTAGCCTGACCTGGAACAAACCTTTCTTGGCAGCGTCTGCTGGTTCCTGTGCATTTACCTGCTCAATTAGCTGCCCTAGAATAACGATCTGTTTGTGTTTCTCTTGCTCTTCTGCCCTTTGTCACTCTCACTTATAGAGCCTCAGCCCGTGGGCCTCAGAGGGAGGGCAAAGAACGCTCTTCCTTGCTCTGTCCTCAGGGAGGCTGACAGCACAAGAGACAGACTGTGGTCTGGGAGGGACTTGGCACAGTCGGAAGACCTGCCTGGGGCCTGCAGCTCCTCCATAGCCTCGGTTCTCCCGTGGCTGTTCCCGAGGCTGCTCTGGCTGCCATGGCCTTACCCCCTGGGAATGCAGATAGTCCATGGTCTTGGTGATGGTGCACAGCACATCGCTGGCCTCGCGCTCTGAGAAGCACCGCTGCCGGAGGATGCGGTCCAGAAGCTCCCCGCCACGCATCAGCTCCATCACCAGGTACACGTACTTGCCGTCGTCATACACCTATGAGCCCAGAGGGTTTACACGTAAGCTTCGGGACCACCATCACCAGTGCCACTGCCCAGCTGCCTGCTACTATGACAGATGGGGAGGAGACCAAGGCTGTAGCTCATGATCCCTGGAATAAGAGCAAGTACGTAGGAGTTGGGCCTCACGCCAGGGTAGCCCTTCTTGGGAAGAGAACAGCTCTGATACACTCCTGCTAGGGGAGGACATGTCAAGCAGGCTCCCATGCAGTGGCTGGGGCTGCACAGAAATGTCAGTGATGCTGCCACCTCCGGAAGGCAGAAGTATATAGCATGGATGCGCACGTGCCCTGGCGCTGCCCATGTTGTCCTCTAGGGCCAGCCAAGCTCTCCAGATTCCTGTGTGCATGGATATTCCAGTTACACAGGTCTTGGGGGGCACCCTGCACCACTGAGCAGCCCTGGGAGGCATCTGCTTCTCCCTCACATCACTGCCATGGACGGTACCAGGAGCCACGGCGGCAGGATCTGGAGCTACATCACCTGACTGGTGCCACTTTTATCTCAGAGAAGGGACAGAAAAGGGCTGATTCTAGGGCAGTGGCTTAAATCTCTTGCACTCAACATTAAAAAACAACCACAGCAAAACTCTGGCTATTTTTGTGCCCAGTCGCCTTGCACGGAGGACCCCACAGGCATTAAGAACCAAGGACTTGATGCAAGGGACTGAAATAGGCTTACTTTTGGCTTGTTGATCATCATTTAATCAATGCATTTTCAGAACAAATTAGTAATTTGCCTGACTTTGAACTTAATAAAAGGGAGAAAGTTAATTTTGGAGTGTTTATTTTTGAGTTTATGAACTCCAACAGTCTACTTTTGCAAACTGAAAAATGATGACATCACTGAATCACTCATCCCCAAAGTAACTGAAATGGGCTGCAGGTTCAGGTAGTTCTCAGATGAGTTGGTTTTTTCTTGCCAATCTTACATTGGAAACAGCATTGAATATGTACAGTGGGGAGATGGCTGTAAACCTGGGTGATGGTGAGGGCTTCACCTAAGCCTTCTGGATATAGGACACTGGTTTACTTTGCCCCTCAGTAGTAAACTGAACCCTGAAGCTCTCTTACTCCAGAGACTACTGGCCAGAAGGGACACTGAGTTGGCCTTGGCATCCTGAGGTCCTGGGCCCAACAAAACTATCTTTCCTTCCTAGGCCTAAACCCTGCACTCCTCAGGCGTTCTGTTGTACACTTGCTGACTAGCTACGTGTGGCAAACTCCTACTCCATCCCCTCTCACCAAAGACTGGGACCAGCAACTACCCACAGAGAGAGCCAGAGAAGCTTCAAGAAGCTGCATGAGCCGGCTGGGTCTGGGCCTCCCCTCACTCCCAGAATTCTCACCTCTTTTTCTGTTATAGTTGTGAAAGTCCATGACACGGCTGGGTTATGAGTCACACTAGGTACCATCTCCTCTGTTACGTGGCTGTGCTGTGTGATTTATGTGTAGCAGGGAGCACCCAACACATACACATACAAGTCTTACAAATTGGGTGACCAGCTCCAAGGGAGTCTGTGGTACGTAGTGTGGAACTGGCTTTGGCAAGTAATCGAACATTAGACATGTATGGAGAGCTTGTGAAAAATAAGTGGTAGTGTTCCTGTCAGCTGAAGAAACCAAGAGCAGAGGCACTGAGGCCACTTCCCAAGACCACTCACATCTTTGAGGGTGATGATGTTGGGGTGCTGGCCGTACCGCAGGAGGATCTCGATCTCTTCTGAGGGATCTCTTTTACTCTTATCGATGATCTGGAACAAATACAACATATGACAAAGATAAGTTTACTTTTAGGCTTTTAGGCAGGTTTCTGGTGGATCTTTCAGAGAAGAATGCCAGACCCCAGTGCCCTCACCATGTCCTCACTGGCCCCTCTAGCCTCACACATGACAGGACTACATAAACTCTCCAAGACCACTACATTCAGAGCCAGGCCTTTTTTCTTCTCTAGCATGAGTCACATTTATCTGAGGTGGCATAGGGTGAATGTTTAGTGAAAAACATAATTTCTTACAGTAAAACACCCCTAGCTATCAGTCTCCCTCATAATACCCCATCTTCAGACTCACTCATACCACTAAACTGCTACTTTCTGAAGCAGTTCTGGAAATCCTCTTTCATGAATATTAGATGTGATCAAAACTATGGTGGATGCTGCCTCTGAGTGCCATCCAGTGGAAAGGGGGACTTACAAAACTATTCTGGGATCTCATTCACCACATTCCCTGGACCTGGCAGGCTCTGGGCCAGGCAGCTGAGCTTCCTGGGTGAATCCTTAACCACTGTATATGTCAGGCATTTTCTGCAAGCTACACACCCATAACTCCATGAGGTGAGGTTCACAACTCTCACCAAGAAGCACCAGGAAAGGAGAGCAGGCTGGCTTTGCCTCAGGGGTGAGGCACAGGAAGGCTTTTCTCATTTCAGGACCCTCCACACCCAGCACTTGTACCCAGTGTCTTAGGACAGTAGATAAAATTACTTCATCCCATGAAAATAGTTGGCTTTCTACAACAGAATGCCATGAATCCAAGACTGTCTTGAGATATGAAATTCCCACTGGCAAAAGATGGCTGATACTTCAGGAGGTTCCTTCCTTAAGCCCAGGCCCCACTGCTCTGTAGAGAGGGAGCTGGTGTTATGGTTTGTGTCTAGATGTCCCCACAAAGCCTCATGCAGTCTTAGGAGTGGGCATCTAGAGTTTGTGATTGATCCCAGTACTGGGATTAAGGGTGTGAGTGCTACACTTGCTCTAGGGCAGGTAGCCTGCATACACTATAAGAAACAGAAAGAGGTCTTTCTTGCACTCCCTCTCCCTCCCCCTCCCCCCTTTCACCTTCCCCATTTCTTCTTCCCCTCTGCCTCTCTTGTTATTTTTGCTCTCTTCCACTGAGTGAACTGCTGCCCCTCTGCTAAGCCACCCTGCCTTGGAGCCGGCAAATTACGGACTGAAAGCTTTACAAACTGAGCTAAATAAACGTTTTCTGCTCTGAACTTTGTGCATCAGGTATTTTGTCTCAACAATGAGAGAACAATAACCAAGATAGCAGGTGAGGCAAGGGATGACTTATGTGACAGTGATGGCACACAGGTTACAAACAACACCCAAGACAGAAGACAGGTCATTAGAACGCCTTCCTAACAGCCATGTGTACTGTGCTTGTGTCTTAGCTCCTCTTAAGTTTAAAGTTTTCACTCTGGAGAATGTGCAGCCATGTCACCAACAAAGTATGGGGATGATTTGCTCTTGTAACACTGAGGCCTCTAAGTGGAGCCTTGCATGAAAGTCAGTTTCTTTTTCTTAGATGAACTCAAGATGTCAAAGACTTTGACTTTCTTAGATGTCAAAGACTACTATAGTAGTCTTTGACACACTACTGTTACTTGGTGACCCCTTCCCCATGGCTCTCACTCATTGTTATAAAAGGCCTAAAGTTCTGGCCCATGGCTGTTTTAAAGGGCAGTCTATCTCAACTGGTTATATCCATGCTGTGCAAGGCCTACAAGCAGCCTTGGATGACAAATAGGCAGGCTGGTAAGGCACCCTTTGCAACACAAACTCTCTCCTTGGGCTGATTTAATTTCATAAAAGGGGATTCCTCTTTCTGGGGGTGAGCCAGCACATAGTTCTGCAGGAGAAACACTTATAAAAGGTTCATGAAGCTGGGCATGGTAGTATAATCCCAGCACACTAGGAAGCTGAAGCTAGAGGATCAAAAGTTTGAAGCTAGCCTGGGCAACATATAAAGACCCTGCCTCAAAATAAAGAATATCCAAATATACTTCACATATCCCCCCCCCCAACTATACACTCAGGGGGATGTGAGACAAGAGGAATTGTGAAGGGAATGGTTAAAGGATATTCTGTGCATGCACAACTCTGCTAAAGTGAAATCCATTAATCTGTGTAACCAATATGCATTAATAAAAAAGTACGAAAAAATAAATTTAAGAAGTGCTGGGGATATAACTCAGTATGAAGGCTTTGAGTTCAGTCTACAGTAGTTCTGGAGAGAGAGAGAGAGAGAGAGAGAGAGAGAGAGAGAGAGAGAGACAAGAGACAGAGAGAGACAGAGACAGAGACAGAGACAGGGACAGATTAGCACAGTTAACATGGGTGACCTTTCTAAAGTGCTATGAGCCTGTCTTTGCAGTCCTTGGAAGGGCCTCGGCCTAGAGGGCCTGAACTCCTTCCCAGCTACCCTTACCTGGGGTCTGCCTTTATAATTTGAGAAGTTTAAAATACATTCATGAACTTAAAAAAAATCAGTAGCAGATCCATTTTTTTCCAAAGATCATGTCATGATAAAGTGAAATATTTTTAGCATGAATATGTTTGGTTCCCTCTCAAAGGAACAGGATGCAGAATACACAGAAAAGAGGAAGCCTGTCCTGTGCAGCCAGGGACACTCCTCAAGACAGACGCGGCACAGATGCATCCCTTGCTCAAGTGCTTTAAACCTGGGGAAGGAATGGAAGCAGACACTTCTTCCATATGCACACACAAATAGCCCTGAATAACCTCGGCTTCCTGTAGGGAGGGGAGCCTGTACTAGGGCCCCCAGTAGGAGACTGGCTGTATTCTTTGGTACAGTTTTTGAATTCCAAATGTGACTACTTTATCTATTAAAAAAAAAAAAAAAAAGACATATGAAGGCAAAGTAACTATTACAGGAGCTGCTATTACACCTGAGATTCTGAATGGTAGGGTTGTTTACCCAACTATCTATTTTATTCCTTCATGTTCTTTTGTTGTATTGTGAGAAAACGTCTTATTTATACTAATAACTATGTATAATTAATAAGTTGTTTTAAAAAAAACTTACAGTTGTACCAACATTTGAGAAATATTTTAAAATTATGATAAAAGTTGACCTGCATGTGAGACAATGAGGGACCACCCACAGTGGCATAGGAGGGTGGGACAACAAAATAAAGCCCTGGGTATGCTAAACTGTGCCTCTTTGTAGCATGGCATGTTTCAACCGACCACCAGGACATCTCAATAAAACCACAGAAGCAGAATGTCTGCATGAAATGCAGAACTGTTCCCATGGTTCGGTGTCCTCGTTGTCAGGAACTGGGGCAGCCTTGTGCATCTCCCCAAGTGCCAGTATGATTGAATTGGCATGTATTGATTGCTTCACACCCCATACAGTACACCCACCATACAAATGCGATATTTTCATGGTGGGCATAAAATACAGCCACACTTCCTGCTCCGAAGATGGACCAAGTGGCTATGAGCTGCCACACTTATGCTCCTGAACATCACTTTCATTTTTTGTCTCTGAATCCTCCCTGTATGTTGATGCCACAGAGCACAGCAATGCTTACAATGATATCAGGGTAGAAAGACCCCTGGAAAGCATCAGCAGCCACACAATGGCCGCTGGAGGAGGGCGGTGATGGGACGGCGTGATGGGAGGGCATGATGGGACGGCTTGATGGGATGGCGTGATGGGACGGCGTGATGGGATGGCGTGATGGGACGCTTGCCGAAGTGCAGCTGGAGGTGATGGGAACTTGCGAGGGACATGCTGTGCCCAGCGGTGCGCAGCCATTGCCTCGAAGGCCCACAGGCTGTGCGACATCCCTCAGGAAGGAACACTGGGTGTTGGAAAACCTCACTAATCCCCTCTAGCTGCAGAACTGTCTGAGGCAGAGGACACGGCCAAGGAACTGGGATGTGGCTCCCAGTGTTAGGGAGCAGGAGGTATGTGGGGAAGATGGAGGCCCCGACCCCCACTGAAGGGCTTTCCTGCCGCAGACCTGTGACTGGAGTGGGCTCTTACCCCACCAACCTTCCTGCTTTCCACTTTCTCCCAATCTGGGTCATTTCAACCCTGCCTGGGCAACTGGGTCCCACACACAGGCCAGATTTGTTCTAATCCAGGTTTAATCTCGACATTGTCACAAGTGCTTTTGCGTGTCTGTGTGACTTTTTTGGAAAAGCCTTTTTGCTTCCTTTGGTTTTCCTGTTTGTAAGGATGGTGAGTTGTTTGAGAGGGTGAATGAGAGAAAGTGGCAGTTGGTGTGACTCAGCTGCAGTGAACTGGGGACAGCGTGGTCCAGGAAATGGGTTTGGAGCCCATGTTCAGAAACATCAAGCGACCGTCAGTGAAATGCTTCTCAGTGACGTTGGTTTCTTGGCATTGATAGTGTTGGATTCTTTCTAATTAGAGCTAGCTGTGGTGTAACAAGTTCTTTATTCCGAAAATAATATTATTTTATAATCTTTATAATGGACTGAAACCTAGAAAGGGATTGTGTGTGAGTGGGAGCCAGCCTCCTGTCCCCAAGGGCATGCTCCATGACACTGATGACCAGGAAGACAGGCTTGGACGGGGAAGAGATGGTCCTGCCTCTCTCCTCCTCATTGCCACCTGGCAACAGCTGTGCAGGAAGGCCACCTGTCAGAGAGGCCACCACCTGGGGGGCAGGGGATGCTGTATAACATGTTGCGTGTGTCCCCTCTCCTTAGAAGTGCTAAGTCAGTGTCTGCACCTCCAGGGAGTACCTGTGGCTTCCATAATCAATGGCATAGGATGACAGTTTTTCTCAGTGGGTGAGCACGTAGACCTAGGTCAAAAGCAGTTACTCCTGGTGGCCAGAGCTGGCACAGACCAGGCTGGGCTCCACTGACATGTCTCTCCCCTCCTTTTTGGTGTCTTGATCTCTCCTGTCTTTCTCATCTCTCTCCACCACTAGAAATGTTCCTCGGCATTGACTGAGGCTGTGTGGTGAGTTC